TTGCGCGGCCGACGGCAGCGGCTGCGACAGACGAGCCGCAGCAGCAGCTGCGGCTGCTGCTGCAGCTGTAGTCTCATATCCTTGGAGCGCAGCCAGGTCTGCCTTTTGTGGCAAATCAACTTCTTGCCTTGTTCCCTTCGGGGCTGTAAACGCTTTGCTCTAGACGCTTACTACAGAAGGGGCCCAGCGTTATTCCTTCGGCTTTCGGGGACACCGGCGGAAGGAGGACCCGAGTCCCGGGTTTCCATGCGCCCACCGTGTGTTGCGGGTTCTCTGCTAACTTCTTGTTGCACCAGAGTCCCTTGCTTGCGTCGTGTCAACGTGTCTGGGGTTGCTACTGATAGAGCTCGCACCGCCGCCACTCTCAGCAGGCCACCTTGTGCTCCAGCCGCTCCACCCAAACGCACGAGATCCCCTATACACCATTCGCAGCAAAGCGTACGACAACAAGGCCAGCAGCGCGAAGGGCGTCATTACAGACCCTAGCCAGATCCCAGCAATTCAATTGCTGGAACTTTAGGGAGCGATACAAACATACAGGCTGCACAGGAGCAGGACAGGTGCCTCAGGGCCCCCTGATACTTCAGGGCCCCCACTCAGATGTGTTCAGCTGGCTGTTTGGCATTGCAGGGCCCCTGTGCAGCCCCAGCAACAGCCACGTGGAACATTGCTGCAGCAGCAAAGGTAGCAGCTGGAGGCAGCAGAGAAACACGATGAACGCGGACGGTTATAAACCATCTCTGCAGCCTTCATGGCAGCAGCAGCAGCAGTTGATGCAGCAACAACACCTGCAGCAACAGCAGCTGCAACAAAAGCAGGATTTCGGCAAGCTGTCACGGGCAGCTGCTGCGGGAGGGATGCAGGGGGACCCTCCGCTACAGCAACCGTGGCAGCAGCATACTCAGCAGCAGTATCCGTCTTACCCTATGGTTAATAACCCCATTCAGCAGCATACTTTTCAAGGGCAGCTACCAGAAGTGATGGAACAGCCTCAGCAACAGATGCAGTTGCCGCAGCAGGAGTTGCAGCACGCACTTACTTGGCAGCAGCAGCATTCACAGATGCATGGTGCACGTCAAGAACAGCAGGTGCAGCAGCAGCCAGAGCAAGTACAATCTCAGCAGCAGGTAGCGCAGCAGCAGTTGTCTCAGACTCAGCAGCCGCAGCAGCCACGGCCGCAACACTTGCAACTGCAGCAGCCACTGTCACAGCAGCTACAGCTCCAGCAACCACAGCCGCAGCAGCAGCCACAACAACAGCCACAGCCGCAGCAGCCACAGCTGGAGAAGGCACACCTGCAGCAGCAGCCACCACTACAGCAGCCGCAGCTGCAGCACCAACAGCAACTACAGCAGCAGCCACAACTGCAGCACCAGCTACCGCCGCAGCAGCAGCCACGACTGCAGCACCAGCTACAGCCGCAGCAGCAGCCACAACTGCAGCACCAGCTACAGCCGCAGCAG